TCGACGGCAAGAACAGCTAGAACAGGAACAACGCCGCCAGAGACCGCAGACCCCGCGAGCATCTCACAACATCGACATCAGCATCTTAGTAGACCCCACAAATCCAGTTGACAACGCAAACCCCGCAGATCATCAACAACAGCAGCGGAGAGAAAGAACAGCAATAACATCAAAAGTAGCAACAATAGCAGCAGCAACAACAACAACATAACAACTACGCCCCTTTCAAAGACAATGACAACGACAAAGCCGACGACGATGACGATATCGCTTGTCATGCTCATGCTGGGACCATTTAAGAAATAGTGGTTTCAAGAATCAGACGCAAAACTTGTTCAGGCACGCCGCCCCAGAACAGGAAGCCCTTCTTGCAGGCGAAGACCTTCGTCAAGGAAACTGAACAAGCTACCCCCATAGGGAAGTAGAGCTTAGGCCACCCAATAAAACTGAAACTTCGTACGACTTCTTACGATTATGATGTAACTTTCATGTTATTCGGGGTGCCCCGGCGAAGATCCTCCCTAAACCACCAACAAACCTTATGATGCTCACTTTAACAACACCCTAAACAAGCAGGGTAGGTAATGGTAGTTTGGGGTCTTAGAGAGACCGGAGATCCGGCATTTTAGGACCTGTGCTTTAGCCAGATAAGGATGGATGGGGGACGACGCACAGCTCGGGGCCAAGATCCAGCAAGAATTTACAATCTGTTTTTCTCTGGGGACAATTGTTGGTGTTCACGAATCGACCACGAAGACGATGCCTCCTCTGACAACGACGACGTCGGCGCACTACAGTATTCATCATCGAAGCTGAAGACTGACGAAGAATAACCCTAAACAGCACGCATTCATGCACCCTGATCCCTAATTTCCAATACCCCATAAACCCGAGTGCCTAAACCTAAATCCCATAAACCCCAGTCCCTAAACCCCTGATCGCTTTGCACCCCTAAAGTCCTCACGCCTGCCTTGGTGTTGGTCATGAAGAAGCGTCCCGACTTCCGGGCAGTCGCCCGGCCCGTGATGTAGCGATAGACTTGGGAACCCTTCTGGTCTTCCTCGGGCTTATATGGGGCTTAGGGGGTTTAAGGTGCAGGGTTTAGTGTTTAAAGGTAGGGTTCAGGGTTTAGGGTTTATGGTTTAGGGTGTAGGGGTTTAGGGGGTAGGGTGTAGGGTTTAAACGTAGGGATTGGTGTAGGGTTTTGGGCTTCGGGCCATAGGGTTATAGTCATTAGTACGGTTTGTGGGCAAGGCTATCGAGGGTTCAGGTTTTAGAGCTTAAAGTTTAGGTAACCTTCAAAAGGGTCTTACAAGCGCTCTAAAGCCTTCTAGGGTGCCAAGAAGAAGTGAACGCATGTTTTTACCTATTGGCCTTTAACCGAGAGCTTCGTGGTTTTTTCAGAAAAGCAAAGCCCTTCCGGTCTTTACTGAGGATCAAAGGATCAGGCCTTAAAGGTTCTGCAATTTCGAATTTGACAAGGGGCCGAAACCAAAGCAGCTGAGGTCAGGAGGCTTATATACCATCTTGAAAACCCCAGCAATTCCCCCTACAAAGCAAAGACTGTGGGCTCCGAAATCCCAGTTCTCAGCACTGCCAAAACCCTAAACCCCAAACCCTAAAGCCTAAACCCAGGGAGCAAGGCACCCTAAACCCAAGTTCCGAAGCTCGGGCCCCAAAATCCTCTGAGGCAGAGTGTCCCAGAGCTCGCCCCCGACGTACATGCAGGCCCCTCGGCTCCAGATTCGTCCTTCGCCCGGGGTCTGGACGTAGGGTTTCGGGGTTTAGGGTTTAGGAGGTTAAGGGGTTTAGGGGTTCAGGGTTTAGGGGTTTAGGGGTTTAGCAGATACGAGCATCCCAACCTGGAGGATCTGGCTCTGACCACCACGCAGTGCCAATGCCTAGCTCCCCGACGATACATAGTTGGACAAGTCCGTGCAATCAAATGTTACAAAGAGCACATTCGCAAGCTACAAACATCCTGGCGCATCCTACCAACACCTTTGATAATCACCCCTGGAAGTTGACTCCTCTATTTCTCACTGTTCGTAGTCCGCGTGGTGACCTCCGTTCCCTAGACCTTCCAAAACCCCAAAACACCTCTAAGCACGCTATCAGAAAGCTCTTCCAAAACAAACCCTAAACCCTAAACTCAAAACCCTATAAACCCTATAAGCCCTATAAGCCCTAAGCCTTACAAACCCTACCCCGTAATTAGCCCTCTATGTAAACCCGCTAAACCCTATAATAAACCCAATGACCCCCAAAAGGCTCCCCTTTCTCCCTCTTTTTGTTCTCTCCCGGGCTCCTGAGGAGTGAGCCGTGTTCGAGTCAAACTCCAGGAGTTCCATCTCATCGGGGCGGTAGGCCTGTTTTTGGTGACTTAGGAGGTTTTTGGGTTTTTGGGTTTAGGGATTTTGGGTTTAGGGTTTAGGATTCTCGTTTTTATCGGGGGAACAGGGTTCCTTAAAGGGATCCTGAAAGGGATCTATAAGGGTTCTAGAAGGTATAGGGTTTAGGGTTTTTTATCCGGCGGGGGAGGTTTTGGGTGGTTGAGGTCTTTTAGGGTTTAGGGTTTAGGGTTTTGGGTTTTGGGGGTTTGGGTTTTTAGGGTGTTTGGGGTTTATCTCCGGGTGAGGCAGGTTTTGGGTTTATAGGGTTTTAGGGTTTTTTGGGTTTTAGGGTTTTAGGGTTTATAGGGTTTGGGGTTTAGGGTTTGGGGTTTGGGGTTTAGGGTTCTATGATTCAGGGCTTTAGGGTTTAGGGTTTTAGGGCTTTAGGGCTTAGGGCTTTAGGGTTTAGAGGGTTTAGGGTTTTAGGGTCAACAAGATGGTTATGTTGAAGGTATTGAGAGTGCGTATTTGCGATTTGAGTTGTTACCGGTTTGAGGGTTCATCGGACGATCGTGCTGACCACGTTTGTTTGCATATTTGTGAATCTTGTGGCTGTTGGTTTTAGTGTATTCGGTGTTGTCTTGTTAGCAGCAAATGAAAAAGAAAAGCCAAGACATGTTTGTTTTCAGAGGTTAAGCCAAACGAGTTCTGAAACCCGGAAGCCCGTACAATTGTTGTTAGTATTACATAGATCCTGGTGAAACTCTCAAACAACCCAAAGCAAGAATCAAAAAGGAAGGCAAACACCAGCCACAAACATACACAAGCACTAGCACGTAACACAATCACAAGAACAAAAAACCATGACGCTCCAAAACCCTGAGAATCCCTGAAAGCTGCTCGGGTCTACCCTAGAAGCCTCTGAAGACGCTTCGCAGATCTCGCTAGCATTCGCTACACACACGCGTACACACACCTACCCGTCCAAAGAATCAACCCTCCCTGAAACCAAAGCAGTCAATCCTGCCTAAAAGCCTTTCCTCACCTAACCCCTCCCACAAAGGAGGCGCATAGTCATGGCCAATTATGTCTGCATCACGCAACTTCAGTGATCGCTCTACAAAGGCTCAAAAGCTTGCGAAGGGCAGAACGCGACGGTGAAACCCTTAACCTAAGCTCCCAACACTAAACCCCAAGCGTAAGCCCCAAACCTACGCCCCCCTAAACCCAAACCCTAAACTGCCCTAAACCCCAAGTTAAGGATTTGAGCTACGGACATGGGTTTAGGGTTTAGGGTCAGGGTGCAGGGTTTAGGGTGCACGGTTGGGGATGCAGGGTTGAGCTCCAGGGTTTGGGTTTTCGGTTTCAGGGGCTCGGAGCCCCCATAGCCACGTCTCCGTGCCAGATGGCAATGCTACGGGTGATGAGTGCAGCCGCCGGTACACAGGTCACTGTTCTCTCACAAGAGGGGCTGTGCCGCATAGTCGCAGCAGATGGTTTGGCTGTGCGTGGGCTTAAGCGGCACTTGCACCCGTTGTGTGGGCAGCCCCGGTTTCGTCAGAGGCTGATAAGGATGGCAGACGGTCTTGTCCTTGCAGACGATGCAACCTTGGAGGTCCCTGACGAAGTTCAGCTGGTGCTGCTGCCCTTGGCCGACACTTCTGCTTCTCAAGCACTTGTCCTGCATGCTGCAGTTGAGGGAAATCTTGTGCATGAAGTAGACATCATTCTCGGCCGAAGCTTGGCACTTCGAGTGGGAGGCTTTTTGTTCATACGAGTCATACGAGGGCAAGTGCGTTCAGCCTTTTTTTAGCGGTTGAGTGTCTCGTCAGTAGTCCAGGGCCTCAAGATCCAGACTTTGCACCAGAAGACCAGAAAACTCCTCTTTGTTTGGCTTCTCGTTGTGGGCACTTGGACATCGTCCGTTTGCTCTTGGAAGCTCGTGCCGACAAGGACAAGCCGGACGATTCTGGACGCACGCCTCTTTCTGTGGCTGCGGGTGAAGGGCACTTGGAGGTGGTCCGATTGCTGTTGGATGTTGGTGCTGACAAGAATGAGCAGGATGATTCCAGTTGCACTCCTCTTCTCAGGGCTACAAAGAGCAAACACTTGGAGGTAGTCCGTTTGCTGCTGGGTCGCGGCGCCGACAAGGACCGACCTAACTTTCATGGTTGCACTCCGCTGTACACGGCCGCTTTGAATGGGCACTTGGGGCTGGCCGGCTTGCTGCTAGATGCTGGCGCTGACAAGGACAAGCCTGACTTGTCTGGTCACACTCCTTTTGCCACAGCTGCAGCGGGAGGGCACTTGGAGATGCTCCGTTTGCTGCTGGATGCGGGTGCTGACAAAGACAAGCGCGACCACCGACAACGTACTCCTCTTTTTTTGGCTGCAGCGAATGGGAAGTCGGAGGTGCTCGGCTTGCTTCTTGATGCTGGTGCTGACAAGAACGACCCCGACGAAAATCAAATGACTCCTCTTCATAAGGCTGTATTTCAAAGGCACTTGGAGGTGGTCCGCACGCTGGTGGATGCCGGCGCTGACAAGGACAAACGTGACGAATGGCAACAAACGCCTCTTTTCATTGCTGCTGCACACAGCCGCATCCAGGAGCTCCACTTGTTGCTGGGTGCTGGCGCTGACACGAAGATTCCTAACAGATGGCAACAAACTCCTCTTTTCACGGCTGCCGCACTCGACAACTTGAGGGTGGTGCGCTCGCTCCTGGAAGCTGGCGCCGATAAGGACAAGCTGGACGATTCTGGACGCACTCCTCTTTCTGTGGCTGCGGGTGAAGGGCACTTGGAGGTTGTCCGACTGCTCTTGGATTTTGGTGCTGATAAGGACAAGCCCGACAAGTCTGAACGCACCCCTCTTTTTGCGGCTGCGAAGATGAACCACTGCGGCGTAGTCCGCGTGCTGCTGGAAGCTGGTGCAGACAAGGACAAACCCGACATTTTTCAAGACACTCCTATTGCTGTGGCCGAGGCAAACTATGCGTGGAAGGCGGCGCACTTGCTGCGGGAAGCTGGCGCTGTCGAAGAGACACGTGTCAAGCGACAACGCTGTCATTGACAAAAGAAGCTTCCACCATCAAACTTCAGGGTCTCTGTTAACTTCAGGGTCTCTGTTAACTTCAGGGTCTCTGTTGTAGGGTTTGGGGTTTAACGTTTTAGGGTGATCGGGTTAGATCTGGAGATTGGGTTTCAGGCACTTGGGTCTTGGGGTGGTGGGGTTGAGATGTTGGAGTTGGAGTTGTGGGATGGGGTGTTGGGGTTGAGATCTTCAGATATATTATCCTAGGGTGGGGGCTGGGTGGTGCCATACACCTAAATAGGCAAGGTATCCTCTAACTACTTCAGGGGCAGCAAGGTGGTTACTTAGGGTGTCTCCCCTTTTTCTCGGGGTCTTTTGGGGGTTTGGGGTTCTAAACCCTAAACTTAACCCTAAACCCCCTAAACCCCCTAAACCCCTAAACCCTAAAGCCCTAAACCTAAAGCCCTGAACCCGAAAGCCCTAAACCCGAAAGCCCTTTTTTTTGTGAGAGCTTCGAAGCACTTTGCTTCCGGGGTCCTGGGTTTAGAAGGTCTTCAGGGTTGAGCAGCTCAGACGGCTTTCCGGGATTAAAGATATTTGTTGCATAAAAGAGTAGGGTTTTAGGGTTTAGGGTTTAGAATTTAGTGTCTAGGGTTTTAGGGTCTAGGGTTTTAGGGTTTTAGGGTTTAGGGTTTTTCAGGTTTAGGGTTGAGGGTTTTAGGGTTTAGGGTTTTAGGGTTTTAGGGTTTAGGGTAAAAGAGGAGTCTATAAGGACGAGCTTGGAAGCAGATGCATGTAAAAGGATTCGGTTCTAGATGTATCATCTGGAGAAAGCCGATCGTGCAGCGTAGGGAAATCGAGAACTTGTGAGACAGCCCCCGTGCCGAGAGCCACATGCCGAAAACCTAAGCTCCTTAGGCCATGATTACCTGATAGTTTGGAATTAATTACTTAGGTCTCCAGTACCGAACCTTTCAACTTTTTGGGTTCTTCGAGATTACTAGCAGTCTGACAGTTTCTCGTTTTATTTCCTTGGCCTTTTAGGGAAGTAAGACTAGCCACCTATCCCCCCAAACTCCTTCCCTTAGCATCAAAATAGCCCAAAAGCCTTAAGCAATGGGGTCTTTGGGCCCAAAAGCCTTAAAATATGAGTCCTTTGAGGGTAAGGGCTTATCAACCTTCCATCAAGCGCAGGCGCGACGCGCGCAGAAGTTCTGGGACTGGCCTCTCAGCCTTATATGGTCCCTTTTGGGGGGGTCCTATTCATAAGGGTTTAGGGTTTAGAGTTTAGGGTGTAGGGTTTAGGATAATGTGGACCTAAACAGGGACCCGAATTTAGAAAACTACCCATATGGATTCCAAGAGAGCCCAAACTGTCTTTCCATTCAGGCATATACACTAAGACTAAATCAGCATCTAAATTAAGCACCCCAACCCTAAACCCTCAACCCCAAAACCCCAAACCCTGAACCCAAGGGTTTAGTAAACCCTAAACCCTAAACCGTTGCTTTGGGAGTGTTATGTCTTTGCTTGCTAAAGACTACGAAAAGACGGCTTCGGGGCTTTATGTGGGTTTAGGACCCCAACATCAAAAGCTCTTCGCACTACTAGAAGCCCTAAAAGCCCTAAAACCCCCAAAAGCCCTAAAAGCCCTAAACCCCAAACATCCTATAACCGCTAAAAGCCCTAAAAACTCTTCTGCCTGGGGTTTCGACTTCAGGTTCTACGGCTCCCGCCTAGAAAAGCCGGAGGGCTCTCCAGTGGAGAGACCAGAGGCCGGGGCAGTTGAGATTTTTTTCTTCAGGGTGTAGGGTTTAGGGTTTTAAGGTTTTAGGGTCTTTAGGGTTTAGGGTTCTTTTAGGGTTTTAGGGCTTTAGGGTTTTAAGGTTTTAGGGTTTTAGGGTTTAGGGTTTTAAGGTTTTAGGGTTTAGGGCTCAGGGTTTAGGGTTTAGGGTTGAAGGTTTTCATATCGGTGGTTCAAGAAGTCCATGTGTCTAACTGCAGGCTTCCCGATGCATGCATCTACATCTGCACTTCTGCGGAAAAGTAGCACTATGCTTGCAGAGTGCCATATTGTTAGCCAGACCGACACATCGATAGACGGTTCCCATCAGGTCTCGGAAGGGGCCGGCCACTGAAATCAGCGCTTCTCGAGATTAATATTTCATCTTCTACGTGTTTACATGTAGTCAACTGAGATCTTTGCTAAACAATCGCAATCCTGTAGGCATAGTATGTTCGTTACTGGACTGGACCTCTCAGTTTTCGGAAAACACTTTTTTAAAGCCCAAAACTTCCGAAATCCGAGTTAAATTCCAAAAACCCTTTGACCTCTTAAACCCGAACCCCCAAGCCCGACACTTGAACCCCAAAAACCCTAATCCGTCAACCCCAGACCCCCCAACTCCTACATTCCACAACCACCAAGAAATCCTAAAACACTTAAATCCCGAAACCCCAAACCCCCTAACTCTAACCCATAAACCCAATGCCCCAAACCCTGAACCCTAAATCTTAAACCCTAGAAAATCCTAAACCCTCTACCCTAAGCCTTATAAGCCCTAAATCCTAAACCCTATAAGCCCTGTAAACCCGTGAAACAGAAACAGGCCCTAAGCCACCCCTAAGTCCAAAACTCCCCCGAGGCGGCGGGCACGGAGTGGATTTCCCAACCCGGGGCCTTGCTTCCGAAGCTCCTGGAGGTACCGAGATGACCCTTTTTGGTGGTTTATAGGGTTTAAGGTTTAGGGTTTTAAGGTTAAGGGCTTAAGGTGTAGGGTTTAGAGGGTTTAAGGTTTAGGGTTTATAAGGTTTAGGGGTTAAGGTGTAGGGTTTAGAGGGTTTAAGGTTGAGGGTTTATAAGGTTTAGGGGTTAAGGTGTAGGGTTTAGAGGGTTTAAGGTTTAGGGTTTAGGGTTTGTAAGGTTTAGGGGTTAAGGTATAGGGTGTAGGGTTTTTTGGTTTAGGGTTTTTTTTTGAGTTTATAGGTTTATAAGGTTTGTAGGGTGTAGGGTTTAAGGCTTTTGGGGGTTTAGGTGTAGGGTTCAGGGTTTAGGGAGGGTTTAGGGCGTAGGGTTTAGGGTTTAGGATTTAGGATTTAGCGTTCATAGGTTAAGGTTCAGGGTTCAGGGCCTTCCTGAGGTTTCTGAGGGGGCTTTGTGCGGGTGTTACAGGGGTGTTATAGATCTAGTGTTCTGGTGTTCCTACAGGGTTTTTTGGCTTTGGCGTACGGAGTTCCGGGTTTTTTGTTGGGGTTTAGGCTTAGGGCTGTGAGGGTTTTTTAAGGTTTTGGGCTTCAGGGCTTGGGGTTCAGAGTGGAGTCCCTTCAACTGGTCTGGTAAGGAACCTTTACAGGATGGGTTTCCAATTGGTTTGATCGGGGTTCAGGGCTTTAGGATGTCCGGGTTTAGGGCTTTAGGGTTTAGGATTCTAGGGTTTAGGGCTTTAGGGTTTAGGGTTTAGGATTTTAGGGTTTAGGGCTTTAAGGTTTAGGGCTTGAGGGTTTAGGGTTTAGGGGTGTTTAGGGCTTACTCTACCCGAACTCTAAAGCCTGAATCCCGAACCCCACGCCCGGTCACCCCAAATCGTAACCCTCTAGCCTGCCTTGAAACCGGTGCGCCTTACAAAGTAAATGCCCGAGGCATGGGTGTGTTCCCCCTTTTGGTGTGGGACCTTCTTTGCTCTCGGTCTCTTGCTTCAGGTCTTGCACCCACGATACGATGTATTCTGAACCCTGTTCCGACTAAGCATCTACAGCCACTGCCCTACATTTCCAACGCGAAACTGCTGTATTTGGGCGTGGCTTCCGGCCCCTTGCCAGTCCGGAGGCCTTCCACCCACGCTGCCCGGGGACGATCTTGGAGCCTCTTGGCGGAGCAGCTGGGTTCAGGGGTTTATGGGGCTTACGATGTTCGGATCTTGTGGTTTTCGAAACCCTACACGACCACGAACAACCTTCCAAGCTTGTTCGAAGCCCACTCAAGCGCTATAGACCGCAAAACCCTGGACCGCCTGGACCCTAAACCCTAAACCCCAGACCCTAAACCCTAGACCGCCTAGGCCTAGGCCTAGGAGAGTCCCTCCAGGATCGGTTGTGGCGACAGCTCCCTCGCCCAGCAGCTCCACGAAAAGCTGGGTGCCGGGCCAAGTACCCCAAGTACACGGGAGCCAAAGTCAATTAATATAGGGGCCTTAAATAAGTACCTCTATTGTTTTGGGAGGCTCCTTATTATAATTTTGGTATATTGGGCCCCCTTAAAACCCTATTCTAGTTGTTCAGGCCCCTATCGTATGCCTCACCAGCGAAGATCCTAATCTAGGTATTAAGGCCCCTAAAGGCCCTAAAGTACGCTTCACCAGCGAAGATCCTAAGATCCCTTCAACGCTAAACCCCGGACTTAGCCCCGAGCTCTGCAGGTGGGGCCATGCTGGCTGTCGACATCTCTGAGGACCCGAGGGTTTAGGGTTTTAGGGTTTAGGGTTTAAGGTTCAGGGTTGAGGGGTTTAGCCTTTAGGGTTTAGGGGACTTCATCCTGTGGGGGGAGGTTCAGTACAGGCTGGGGTCTGTGAAGGCCTGAGATTCTGGCTCAGGGTACAGGAACATTGAATCCTTGAGGTCCCTGGGGTGGAGATTTCTTTGTTTCGTTCGCCTGTGGTGTTCGAGAACTATATACATTTGCGCGACAATCAGGTCTATCGAGCCCTGCACCCCAAAACCCTACTTGGAGGTTCACGGGTAGTTATAAGTAGGGTTATAAGTCCTTTAATATCATAGAACCCTGGACAGAGCCCCCCAGATTTCGACCCCCAGATTGAAAACCCAACTTAAGGATCATGGCCACAACACAAATCCACCCAAGATCACCGGTTTAAGGCTTGGGGTCTGGGATTATGGGTGGCCTTCCACTGCTTAGGGCTCAGGGTGTCCGAGAGAGCGCGGCGCCATCATTTTTGCGGGGCTGTTGTTCTTGCTGTTGTTGTTGGTGGTGGTGGTGCTGGTGGTGCCGCTGGTGCCGATGGGCGTGCCCCACCAACCCACCC